TATAACAGAGCTCCACAGCAATAATACTCCCAGTAATGTGTCTGTGTATAACAGAGCTCCACAGCAATAATACTCCCAGTAATGTGCCTGAGTGTATAACAGAGCTCCACAGCAATAATACTCCCAGTAATGTGTCTGAGTGTATAACAGAGCTCCACAGCAATAATACTCCCAGTAATGTGTCTGAGTGTATAACAGAGCTCCACAGCAATAATACTCCCAGTAATGTGTCTGAGTGTATAACAGAGCTCCACAGCAATAATACTCCCAGTAATGTGTCTGAGTGTATAACAGAGCTCCACAGCAATAATACTCCCAGTAATGTGTCTGAGTGTATAACAGAGCTCCACAGCAATAATACTCCCAGTAATGTGTCTGAGTGTATAACAGAGCTCCACAGCAATAATACTCCCAGTAATGTGTCTGAGTGTATAACAGAGCTCCACAGCAATAATACTCCCAGTAATGTGTCTGAGTGTATAACAGAGCTCCACAGCAATAATACTCCCAGTAATGTGTCTGAGTGTATAACAGAGCTCCACAGCAATAATACTCCCAGTAATGTGTCTGAGTGTATAACAGAGCTCCACAGCAATAATACTCCCAGTAATGTGTCTGAGTGTATAACAGAGCTCCACAGCAATAATACTCCCAGTAATGTGTCTGAGTGTATAACAGAGCTCCACAGCAATAATACTCCCAGTAATGTGTCTGAGTGTATAACAGAGCCCACAGCAATAATACTCCCAGTAATGTGTCTGAGTGTATAACAGAGCTCCACAGCAATAATACTCCCAGTAATGTGTCTGAGTGTATAACAGAGCTCCACAGCAATAATACTCCCAGTAATGTGTCTGAGTGTATAACAGAGCTCCACAGCAATAATACTCCCAGTAATGTGTCTGAGTGTATAACAGAGCTCCACAGCAATAATACTCCCAGTAATGTGTCTGAGTGTATAACAGAGCTCCACAGCAATAATACTCCCAGTAATGTGTCTGAGTGTATAACTGAGCTCCACAGCAATAATACTCCCAGTAATGTGTCTGAGTGTATAACAGAGCTCCACAGCAATAATACTCCCAGTAATGTGTCTGAGTGTATAACAGAGCCCCACAGTAATAATATTCCCAGTAATGTGTCTGAGTGTATAACAGAGCTCCACAGCAATAATACTCCCAGTAATTTGTCTGAGTGTATAACTGAGCTCCACAGTAATAATACTCCCAGTAATGTGTCTGAGTGTATAACAGAGCTCCACAGCAATAATACTCCCAGTAATGTGTCTGAGTGTATAACAGAGCTCCACAGCAATAACACTCCCAGTAATGTGTCTGAGTGTATAAAAGAGCTCCACGGCAATGATACTTCCAGTAATGTGTCTTTAAACTACAATAAATGTATTTAGAAATCAGTCTGTGTTGATAAGATACATTGTTCTTCATATAAATTATATTTTAGTTCTATAAATTGTTATTAGTAAGTCACATAAAATTTCTCAGAACAGCCCCGCCCCTGGCCACATCCCCACTCACACCCAAAACAGCTCTGTCCCTGACCACACTCCACTCACGCCCCAGAAATTAAAGTGTCCCTCTATGTTAGGTGGGGTGTATATCAGCAAATGAATTTTACTGATTACACAATGGCTTTCTGTATTTACTAATCACACCTCAAACAGCAGGCTATCTAGGAGACCAAGAAAGAGGTTGGATTATTACACACATCGATTCCTATAATTCTTGGGATAATTAACAATGAGGAAACATACATTAAATGGGAAATATATTATTAACAGGAAATAATAGAATAATATAATATTATTAAGAACCAATTTCTCCAAATTATGTCCCTCTGTTCGTATGTCCTTATTTATTATATAATATTGGTTGTTTGCTTCTCATTTTGAAATATTTGTCTGCGACAGAAAAGTAATTTTTGTTCCTTTGTCTAAAAGTGATTCACGGCTTTCTTTTAAAATGAAAGTTTTATCCAATTTGTTTCCCAGCAAGTCGCAAGAAAACAAAAGATTTAAAGAATGAAAAAATAACCAGTCCTGAAAATATTGGCATGCTAAGTTCCATCACATTGTAAAATCCTGGCACGCGTTTTATATCCTTTAACTATTCAAGAACGGAATATGGAGCAAAACATCTTGAAATTATTGGGAAATGGCATTTTAAACACCTGTTGCAGGCACATCACAGGAAATTGTAACATACCATGTGGATTATATCCAGCTGGTAGACTTCAAGGGACCCACCGATGCCATCCAGACTTTCAATGGGATGACAAGTAAATAAACAAACAAATAAAAAGGGGATACCCGGAACATGCTGCCGTAAAGACCAAAATATATACAAAATACAGATTAAGGAACAGCGCACACACACACACAAAAATACAATATTACATTTTACATGGCTGCTTACAATCGCCTACATTTGCAATCAAAACCTACATTGAAAAACAGGATTATTATCAAAATGTACAGAATTTCAGCTGCTTGCAATGAACAAAACAAACAAAAGCAATTTAACTTGCTCAACACTACTAATGTTTTTTATAATGACTTCTCCAGTCTCAAAATTATTTAACGCCCTGATTAGAATCTCTCACAACACACCTGGTGCAACTAATCAAAGGCTTCATTAGTTGCATCAGCTGGGCTTTAGCTAAAACACTTGAAATACCTGAACTGGCTTGGGGTTTGTTGCGTGTCACGTTTGACTGCATGTTAGAAATATGGCTAAGTCAAAAGAATGGTCCACAAAGTTAGGAGAAGAGATCATCGCCTTCACAAACAAGGAACAGGATACAAAAAGAAAGCGAAGGAAGTGAGTGTTGAGCTATTTCAATTACTTTTGTTTAATTTGTTCATTGCAAACAGCTGAAAGTCTGTAAATTTTGACAATAAACCTGATTTTCAAGGGCGGTTGAATAATTTGGATTACAACGTTATCTTAGCAAACAAATATGGGGATTCAGTTCCACCATATGCAACAAATGGACAAATAATTGCCCAGCAAAAGTCGTGTACAAGATCCTGCATGACATTCACTGCCATAGTGATAAAGTGCGTGAAATACAGCATTTATTCCATTCTTATTAGAGATAATTATACCATTATCTGTACAGGTTCTCAAAACAGGCTCATCTCTTTATTTACTGTACACTATGTCTATTGAGAAACTATACCTCAATAACAATTGCTGAACTTTACATAATTATACAGATCAAAACTGTGCGTCCCCCTATACCTTCCCCTATCCTATTTTCTGTTCCCTATGTTATATTGAAAACCAATAAACTTCAAATTACAAAAAAATAATTATATCATAGGTGTTCACAGGGAGCAGATGATGAAGAACGTTTATTTATGCAGTTTTGGTTCTACTGTTCTAAATCATAATACATACCTGCCAACTGTCCCGATTCGAAGAAACAGTCTGTATGTTGATAGATTAAAATGGAGAGCACAGTTACCTCAGTAATATAAGTAACCATGGCTCAGCACAATAACATAATAGCCGACCCAGACACAAACGGCAAAACTACACATTTTACTAAAACATTTCCCAGCTAATCCAGGGCAGGAAAGAGCATATAGAGTACAATAACTGATATTTCATAGCCAGTAGGATAGTGTACACTGGCTCTGGCAGGCATTAAATGGTCCACTTTACAGGATGGACCCGGCCCAAGGAGAACAGGCATGGATGGCACAGCCTGACGGCACCTCGGGTCAGGTAACCTCCACAGACAAATCTGGAACTTCGCTCCTTAAAGAATGATACAAAGGTTAGAATAGAGGACATGAGGCTTAAAAAACAAATGAATTCAAAGGATAAACAATAAATTGTGATAATAAATATAACCGTTATTCAAGGAGGGCGTCAGCGGTAAATTATAGACTATAATATACGGTTACTGAATCTCCAGTAGATCTGTCTGACACCATATCTGAACATAAAATAAATCAGAATAAATGTCCATCTTGGAGTTTGAATGGGATTTTTATTTGCCAGACATTTATAGTATGGAATAATTGTATCATTGGCTTACGGTTTTTACTCATCTCACAAAAGTGGTTAATGTATGGACAGCAACTTATAATAAGAGGAATCGGCTTGTGACCCGTTTACGAGAACTCATAAAATGTCTATTAAATGCTCATAGCTTAGTAAACACATTCTGCAATATTTTATTACAATATCCTATATCTGCCAGGGTTTTCATCATCGGCTGTGTTTATTGCCGGTGCGGGCTCACTGTGATCAGAACGCCTGATCAAACCCATGATTATTTAATAACAGTGCCATTCTCACACCACGAGAGCCGCGTTTCCTGACAGCTCTAATGTTATATTCAGTTACGTGGCGGAGTGAGGGCTTTTACTGGAGCAGGGCACACAGAAAGCTCAGTCTAAGAGCCCAATTGGAATTATACAGAAAAAGCATTTTATTAAATGTGTCGATTCGTTTAGCCGAGTGACATGTTATTCAGACTCTGTCACAAGCCATGTTCGCTTAATAACCTCGTCTCTCACAGACTTAATATACATGATTTATAGAAAAAAGGAATATTTCTATCAGCATTTCCAGCAATGCAATGGAAAACAACGTACTTGGCAAATTGACTCGTTATTAGCAGTTATCAGACTAATCAATTCAGCAAAAGGCTTCATAGAGAGCACTCACATGACTCACTTAATGCACATTTTCTGATCGTTAAAATTATAGGAATCAATATGTGTAATTAGACCGCTTCGCTCTTGGTCCCCTAGATAGCTTGCTGTCTGAGGTGTGATTAGTAAAGAGCCATTGTGTGATCATTTAAATTCATTTGTTGATATTTATAAAATAATTAACCCTTTCTACCCACTCTACAGAGGGAATGATCTGTTCTTTTAACAGGATCGTCTGTACAAAGTTTTTTTTTTTTTTTTTAAATCTGTTTTATTGGAGAAAAAGAGTTAGGCTCGCAGGCCTCAGTGTATAGCATTATTAGTTGTTACAACATATGTCAGTCTTCAAAACAGTATATTGGGAGTTTCCCAAAACTTCAAGGCACTTACATTCCAATATCAATTTAAGGCTTATTTAGCGTACATGTTATTTGCATAAATACAGCACAAGAGAGCATTTTTAGTAATTGCTTGCAGGACAATATTTAGTATGTTTGTGTGGGGCATGTTCCTCATTTGATGCTCGACCCTCTAAATATAGGCAAGCAAATATTGCTTTCATTCGTCAGGTTAGTGACTTATATCCCTGAGAGACATATGGGAGTAACAAAAAATATAACGTGTTGTAGGGTGAGTCTGTACAAAGTTTCACTCAATATTTTTGAATGCATTATTTATTTTGCATTAAAATATATTGGCAAAAAAAAAATGAAAAGAAAATAAGATAATTACACGAGAAGTTCCAGGGTAATTCTCTGGTTTGTGGGTCTGACTCCCCCTCTCCCTCACTCACACTCCATGATGAGACGCACCAGTCAGTAAAACCTCAATTTCACTATAGACACTGAGGCGAATATTATGCTGCACTCTTTCTTAAATTCCCTCAGCAGCAAAGAAATTACAAATGTTTTTCTCTGGACCGCCCCCCTTCTTCCCTTATCAGAGTTGGTGTCCAGTAATAGTTAGTGGTCAGATGGCTCCCTATTTGCTCCTGCGCCCCCCTTTACTATTTAAGTACTTTTGTGAGTAAATTTCTTACTTTAATTAATTTCCTGTGGGTTACTTAACCCTAGGTTTATCAGCCTTTATTTTCTGTGGGTATTATTATTATTATTATTATTGTTCTTTTCAATATTAATTGTATTCTACCCAATAAAAATATGCAATCTGCTAACGATTTACCTACGCCCTCTGGGTCACGAACTGAATCACCAGATTCACTTGGGACTCCCTTCTATAATTTCTAGGGATGAAGCCAATTTTCCAGCCTTTGAGAAAATTTAGGTGATCATGGACACTGCTGTCTCTAAGTCCATGTCCAACGCCCTGGCATCTGCCATGGACATTATGTCCTCATCTATATCTAAGTCCTTTACGCAGGCCTTGCTACAGGCCCAGCAGTCGGTCCCTCTGGCCTCTCTGTCTGCCGCGATACCATCTACCTCTCATCCCCCAAGCCCACGCCGCAAGGCCTTATCTAAAACAAAGCACTCATCCAAACCTGTTATGATGGACAGTTTAAAACCTGTAAATGATGGCACATTTATAGAACCACTGCAAAAGCAGCTAGACATTGGAAATGGGCTAAAGCCCAAATTGAGTCAGATCTCAGTGAAAAATCGGAGAGTGGTCTGGACTCTGATTCAGACCATTCTGACGATTTATCCGACCCTCATTCAGACCATAATTTTGAGGAGGATCTTAAACACGCTCATGATATTCTTGCTACTGGAATTTCTGGCTCTGACTTGTCTCACCCAGTATTATCTAAGGATGGTAAAATACTTGACCCGCAGGGTGAGTTTTTTTTAATCCTGATGATTTACGTCAGCCCTGATTAGCCAAATGGTCACCAGTTAAGCATGTGGCACGCTACATTGCGGCCTGGGTCCGCAAGCCTCTTGATAAGGTGACCCGTAATAAATAGCGGGCAGATTGTCCACGCCCCACTGTACCAGACGATGTCTGCAAGCAGTGGCGTACACATGACCCATGGGGCCCCGTTGCAAAAATTGATTCTTACTCGGCGCGGGTCAGGGCCACAACACATGGTGGCGGGCACCTGGTCACAGGGCTACGACCCCGCGACCGCGGTATGCTGCACACACTCCTAAAGGACCACTACAGACACCTAGATCACATCAGCTCAATGAAGTGGTCTGGGTGCCAGGTCCCTCTAGTTTTAACCCTGCAGCTGAAAACATAGCTGTTTCAGAGAAACGGCTATGTTTCACTGAGGGTTAATCCAGCCTCTGGTGGCTGTCTCATTGACAGCCGCTAGAGGAGATTCCGCGATTCTCACTGTGAAAATCACAGTGAGAAGACACTGAACGTCCATAGGAAAGCATTGAGTAATGCTTTCCTATGGGCGGTTTAAATGCGCGCGCCTCTTGCCGCGCATGTGCATTCAGAGCTGAGAGGCGGAGGCATCCCCAGCGCCAAGGAAGTCCAGTGCTGGAGAAAGGTAAATGCTGAAGACACACACTCTCACGAACAGATGCATACACAATAGCTAACAGACACACACATTTACTGACAGAGACACACTCAGCGACAGACATACATACACACTCACTTACAAAACATACACTTTCACTGACAAACACACACTCACTAACAGACATCAGACACACTCAGTAACAGACACACCCAATAACAGACACACTAACACCCATACTAACACTTACACACACACACTAACACACACACACACTCTAACACACACACTAACACTAACACACACACACACTAACACTAACACACACACACACTAACACTTTTTTTTTTTTAAATTGAATCCCCCCAGCCTCCTTACCTTTTGGGGTGCTGGGGGGATTCCCTGGGGTCCAGTGGTGCTGCTGGGCTGCTGGGCGGGCTGGCTGTCTGGGTGGCCGGACCCTGGTATGTACACCACTGTCTGCAAGACTCCCCAAGTTGACCCCAAAATTGTTCAGTTCTTGGGCAAGACTGGGTGGAAACCCAAAAAGGGTCTCGACTTTTCCCTGCACAATTTCCAGGATAAAGTGTTGGATATTTTGGGTCCAGCAAACAAGATCTTCGAAGCTGTACAAGAATCCTTGGCTCAAGACGATGTACTAGATCATCTCACAATTAGAGGCTAGATCCAGAGGTTGATCTGCTTGATTGACAACGCAAACACCGCGCTTGCCACAGAGCATCGTAAATTAATCCTCTTAAAGTTTGAGCCAAAACTTGTTAATCTGTCAATTACAGAACCAGGCGCTCAGGTGAAAGGTTTCCTGTTTGGTGAGTGTAGCGGACCACAGGTAACCCGACCGGTTACCTCCGCTAGTCCCCTTCAGCCAGTCAGGAACCACTTAAACTGTACATAGACCCATTTCTTCCCTCCCAGTTACTGGACGAGACCGAGTTCTGGAGGTGGAACAACATTTTATTGGCCACACAAGGCTTTTATGCAAAACCCCATGCAAGGGGTGTACACCACACAATCACAGTGTCCCCTCCCCAGGTCCTCCCCCTCCCAAGGGTCTTAGTATGACAGAGGAGTTCCGGTCTTTTTCTCCGTTGTTCCTGCCACCCAAGCATGGGGTTTCCCACTTCTTGTGACAGGGGTTCTTCTTCTCAGTATTCCCTTTGTCCCCTGTTCCCTCCACCCAAGTACAGGGTTTCCCACTTCCGGTGACAGGTGGTCTTCTTCCCAGGATTCTCTTTGTCCTCTGTTCCCGCCAACCAAATACAGGTTTCCCACTTCCGGTGACATGACTCCCATGAGCCTCGGTACCTGGGAGTCACAGCACGGGAAAACCACCCGCCTCTTTGACTCCCAGTTACAGAAAGCTAGCCCAACCCAGCCATTATCCCCAAAGGATGCCCACACCAACCCCGGGGACCCCCACAACGGTACCTGTCGCAAACCACTTCCGTTCGCGGAGTCCCTGTGTGAAACCAGGCAAGGGAAGCGTCTCCTTTCAGGATATGAATGCTCCCCCTGGTTGGCACTCGTCTATACGAATGGCGGCCACCCAGGAAAGCACTCATTAATTACTTGCCTTGCTGTTTCACACTTATGTTGCGAGTTGTTAACGTTCTAATTGATTGGTATGAACATTCCAAGGGGCACTGGGGAGGTCCCCGTTCGGGAACCGAACAGGGTGGGAAGCAGTTCACGAATGCTCCCCTTGGATGGCGTTCGTCTATACGAATTGGCGGCCACTCAGGGGGTGGCACGCGTCAAGGCTTCCCTTGTGGTTTTGGCATCAGGTCGAGGTGAGAACGTTCTAATGAGTGTACTAAATGGGTTATTGGGGTGGTCCACATTCGGGAGGCAAATGAATGCCCCTCGTGGAGGTACTCACAAACGGGGAGCAGGCATTTTGCACAAACACACAGGGTAGTATACATAATAAAGACAAGGATAACCTATGAACAACTGGGGTTCCGTCACAGTAAACGAACCTGGGCTCCTATGTCCTAACATTTACGGCCTTGGGCAAGACACAGACACATATGAGGAGGGTGTTTCACCCCAAGGTTTTTGCTGGGGCCAGCAGAACAAGGGGCAGTCTGTCCGACAGAGTTAGTAGAGGTTCACAACGTCCGAACCGAGGCTTCTACACTGGGAGAACCCCCTTTCCTGAACAGAGGTCCACACTGGCCATTTTCCCTCAACGAGGCAGACCCTGGGTGTCAAGAGGCTCACGAGGTGCTCCTTCGGGACGACGTCCTTACTGTAAGCTATTACAATCAGTTTTCTTCCCAGTTGGTAGGCGGGGGGGCAGACTCACCCATTTTCCCATGTCTGGGCTCTTATTACATCAAATGCTTGGGTACTCAGGATATCTAATAGATGGATATCTAATAGATTTTGTGTCCCTTACTACCACCGTAGTCCACCCATTTTATGTCAATGCATATCTAATAGATTTTGTGTCCCTTCCTACCAACGTTGTCCACCCAGAGAGATTGTTTTTCCGCACTAGATACGAGAATTGGCACTCAAAGGTGCCATCTAAGAAGTCCCAATTTCCATCCCCCGGGTTTTGTGAGTAATTTGTTTCTAGTTTCCAAGAAAGGAGACGGAGTCTGCCCCGTAATCAATTTGAATCAGCTAATGTGTGACCTACCATCATTTCAAGATGGAGGGCATTCATTGCCTAAGAGATTTTCTTTCAACCATTAGATTGGATGGTCAAGCTAGACCTAAAGGATGCCTACATCACGGTACCCATTGCAGACGTTCATCTAGACTTCCTGCAATTCATGTGGCAAGGGAGGAAATGGCGGTTCCACTGCCTTCCTTATGGCCTATCTTCCACTCCTTGGTGCTTCACCAAGCTCATGAAGCCAGTTATTGCTCTCCTCTGCAGCCATGGGATCCGTCTTATCATTTATCTAGACGATATCCTGTTGTTATCCCAGTCAGTCCCTCTACTTAGTACTCATCTCAGTTGGACCACGACCTTGCTATAGAATCTGGGATTCATTATAAATTAGGAAAAGACCATACTCATTCCAACTCAACAAATAGAGTTTCTGGGTCTTCTAGTGAACTTGTCTCTGCAGACTCTACAGATGTCTCAACGGGCGGAAGATGGTCAGACCTGGAATCAAAGTTGCTTATAAATTGCCTAGAACTCCTAGCACCTTTGTGATTCGTAGCCTGTCCCCAACCCTATCCCAATGCTCAATCCTATTGAAGATGGACAACATCTCAGCTGTCTGTTACATCAATCATCTAGTAGGCACAGAGTCCTGTCAGTTTCATCTTCAGCACAATATTGCAGTCAGAGCGGAATACATCCCAGGACTGTCCAACATTGCAGACAGTCCTGGTTCCTACGCCACCTGCAAGATTCCACCTTGATCTTTCACTGCATTTGGGATCTTAAGGGCCCTTTAGAAATAGATTTGTTCGAATCTCGCTTGAATACCCAGCTTCCGAACTTTTTCAGTTGGAGGCCGGATCCTGTGGCATTGGCTACGAATGCATTCTCCCAGGACTGGTCCATCGACAGGAATTTGCATCCCCTCCATTTGCCCTCATCCCTCGCTGCCTCCTCCATCTTTGACGCCAATTGAGTTTTCTAGTGATAGTGAACCCCCCCCCCCCCTTTGGCTGTCACAACCTTGGTTCCCTCCTGTACTGGAGATGGCTATAGACTACCCCCGTCCCCAGACTCCCAATCGCTCCTACGGGACCCAGACGGGATCCTCCAGGGCCTCCTCCAGCTCATGACATGGCTAATTTCCGGGGACCCTGGTTGATCGAAGGAGTTTTGCAATCGACTCTCAGACTTCTCGAGGGCGCATGGGCACCTGGCACGAGACAGTCTTACAAGTTTGCTTTAAGCACATGAAATGATTGGTGTGTGGAATGGGATGTAGATCCCCTATCAACTCCTGTGACAAATGTCCTCTAATTTTTGACTTCCCTTTATGATAATGAGAAAGCATTTTGGACAGTAAACCTCTACCGCTCAGCCATTTTGGCCGGTCATGCCGGTATTGATGGTGCTCCGGTTGGACGTCACCCGTTTGTGTTCACGGCATTCGTTTTACACGCCTGCCTCTTCCTCGCTACTTCTCCTTATGGGACGTTTCCCTGGTGCTTAATTTTCTTAACGACTGACCAGATAATGAGTCTTTATCCCTGAAACAACTCTCAGCTAAACTAGTTATGCTGTTTTGTTTGATCTCTTGCAAAAGTGCACTCGATGTCGATGCTCGTTCTTTTTACCCAGAAGGGGTGTTTTAAAAATTTCATGTAGGACAAAAACGTCTATCCAGTCGGTCCTTCCTTTGGAAGTTGGAATTTCCTTTGAAACCACAACTCTGTCCGGTGGCATTCCTACGTGTCTACGAAACACGTACCGCCTTCGGACTGTATCAAACCCTCAACTTTTCATCTCCTTTCATAAACCACATGCACCAGTATCTTCTCCCTCCTTGGCTCGATGGATCAGGTGGCTTACGGCCTTGGTTTATGGCATTGGCAGGTGTCGATACTTTTTCTCCACATTTGGTTCACGGTTCTATGGCATCTAAGGCCTCCCTTGCTGGCTGTCATTTGGAGGATATTCTGAAAGTGGCTGATTGGTCCTCAGCGTCTACTTTCCATAATTTCTACTTGAGATCTATCCATCATTTTACTGATTTCACAGCTTTGATTAGCATAAGAGGAGCCTCCATGTCTTTAATAAAATTCCTAGATTTTACTATTAACATGACGTAAAGTTACCAGATTTTACTAATTACATGACGTAAAGTCATGATTTTATGAAGGACACCGAGGCGAATATTAGGCTTATCTCTTTCTTTTATTCCTCAGCAGCAAAGAAAGCTAAGAAGGTATTCGTAATATAGAAAAAAAATGAACAAATACCCTCACAGGGTTAACCATTACATCACTATCTCCTAGCCAATGGGAACAGTCCACATATCATATAGTCCCATTTGACCCCCATCTCTTCCTCTTTCTAGTTGATGCCGAAGCTAATATTGAATAACAGCAATTAACCAAACAACTGAAACATTAAAAACAGGCGGGTAGCCAAAATCTTGGTGACGAATCCTTCCTATAGAGACCCGGATCTTCGAAACTGATCCTCTGGAACTGTAGAAGCTGTCAATGTTGGAGGGGTGTCATAATTTTCAGGCTAGAAGGGAACAGAGAGAACAAGTGGTAAATTATGTTCCCCCAACTATTTTCATATTATCGAAAATATTAAACCATCACCAGTCTAAACATTTACTTATCTGAATAATACATATATTAGGTAACTGTTGAAGATTTTAAGAGTCGAGCATTAAACAACAAACTCCTCCATGTACTATGAACACTTACTACGTACCTGGGTTGGGATACAAAAAGTTCCAAACGTACCGTATCTGGGTGGGCTAATACTCGCCTCTGTGTCCTTAATGAAATCATGACTATACATCATGTAATTAGTAAAATCTGGTAATTTTATTACAGGACACGGAGGCTCTTATTAGGCTAGTTCAAAGCTGTGAAATAACCATAGATGAAACATGGTCTGTCGGTCTAAAATAGTGTTCTCTTAACGTAGATTCACGGGACCAATCTGCTGTTCTAAGAAGGTCTTCTAATCTGCAGCCCAAGTTGAAAACCTTTGAAGCCATGGCCCCTCTAGTAGAGTGAGTGACATACATAGATGTATCCACGTTTGCCAAGGTCATGATCCATTTCACCCATCATACTAGCGTCACTGTGGATACCAGGTGATGAGGCATTTTGGTGGCTAAGAACAGCTCTTGATGTAATGTACTCCTGAGTCCCAGGGTTCGTTTCTCGTATTCTCGTAGGCAGTCCACTGGGCAGAGCTTAACATTACGTGGAGATGCCGGGTAGGAAACTGAGGAAATTGATGATTTAGTGTGTCTGGAAATATTGAATGATACTCCCGTGGGGGTGAAAGAGCGTGCATCTATGTCCAGTGCCCGAACATCTGAAACCCGTTTGCAGGAAATCAGGCAGAGGAGCATGGCCAGTTTTACTAATAGTTATTTAAGTGTGAGTCCCTCATTTCGTGGCCAGGATTCCAAGAAATGAAGGATCAGGTTCACATCCCACAACGATGTGTATCGAGGCTGGGGGGGTCGAGCGAACTTTATGCCTCGTAGGAGCTGGCACACCAGCAGTTGTTGGCTAGCCGGAGTCCCATCGAGGCCTTGATGGCCTTGATGGCGAGACCTGATAGATCGCGCACTTCTCCTGCAGCGTGAGGATTTCCTCGCTCACCAGGGTCCTGTCGTGTGTGGAGAAAGCTATCCGGTGTGGTCTGGAGATTTGGACAGGGTGTTGTATAAATTTGATCTGGTAACCTAGGATAGTGTGTAGGACCCAAACATCTGTTGTTAGTGTGCACCAAGCCTCTACAAAGTGACACAGTCTGTCCCACACTATAGACATACACGGGGGAGGGGATGGTAGGACACTTACCATAAGGCAGTCGGCCATACGAGGCACCCCTGACCGGGAAGAAGGGTGAAAGGGACTTGTTCTCCAGAGGCTAAAATCTAGGTGTGGCAGGGCCTCGATATCCCCGGTATGAACCTCGGGAAGAGCGGTCGGACAGACGGCCCCACCAAAAATTCTTTGGGGAGAGAACACTCTCTTTAAGTTTGTTTGTGCCTTGTCTAACGCTGTAAAGGTGTTGACGTAGTTGCCCAATTCCTTTACGAAGTTATCTCTGAAGAGAAAACCTTTTGCCTGTGGCCCAGGCTCAGATATGGCCATATTAACCAGTTTCAGCTCAATTTTTATGAGGATGGCCTTCCTTCGTTCAGTAGCTAAAGCTGCATTAGCATTGCCGATAAGGCATATAGAATGTTGTACCCAACTCCTAATGGCCAGGAGGTCAATTGGGGTCCCATCGGTTAAGGCCGCTTCGACCATTTAACCCCTTAAGGACCAAACTTCTGTAATAAAAGGGAATCATGACATGCCACACATGTCATGTGTCCTTAAGGGGTTAAAAGATTTTTGCACTGGCAGTGGCATAAGGAGTAGTCAATCCTCTTTTTCGCCTTCCAGCCAGATTTCCCCAAAAATTGGGCCACCTTGGGGTCTATGTCTGGTGTGGCGCAAGCCATGTCTGGGACCGTAGGGCGCGAGCATTCTGCCCTAAGCTTGTTCCTCATGGCCTTATCTAGGGGTTTCTTGATCCTGGCCACTATATAATGTGCCCCGACCTTGGGTTTTGCAAAGCATCGGGGTCAAATAAGGGTTCACCTTGTGGGTCTAGGATAGCGGATGTATCCGCGTGGTCAATAGTGGTTATGGTCGCTTTGCGTGTAGGGCTATGGCCCAGGGAGGAGACCTCCGATTCAATGGAGCCGATCTCATCGAACTCATTCAAAACCTCCTCAGAATCCGAATCAGAGTCAGAAGAGTCTGTTAGGGCTTTGGCTCTTTTCCATGTCCGCGACATTTTTTCCCGGCGGATGGCTCTTTTTCGTGGGGGGCCCCACGACCTCAATGTTGACAGGACGCAACCTGTCCGTATATTCAGTTTGGGAGGCATGTGGGTCTTTGTAGTGGCTTTACGGCCGTGGTAGTAGTAGGGGTAGTGCTTGGGTAGTCTTTAGGGGTCTGCATAGTACTAGCAAGAGGTAACTAAACAGGCTACACAGTAAAGTAATGAGAAATAACAGTGGAAGCAGTTATTTGCCTGTTAAACCAACATTGTCTAATCACACACCGCAGTGACAGGCAGAATAATTGCAGGCGAGGTACAGAACAAAACCGAGCTGTCAGCTTACAGAGTGTTCCCTCAGGAATGGCCACTGGAGTGCACTGGAAAGCTGATAGTCAGTTGTCTGAACCAATCAGCTCTCGCCCGCCCCCTCAGTGAGCCGCGCGAGCTGGGATAAGTGCGGAAAAATGTATTTGCCACACACAATATGGCCGCTGCGATGTGGCAACCGACCGCGGACCGGGCCCAGATGGAATGGACGGTTTTAAAGAGGATGCCCCACGTCTGGTTAGCCGGCCACCATGACCGGCGTGAGATTAGGGTAATAAACTACCCGGAATGTAAGGAAAGAACGGGTTAACCGCCCTGGCGGGCGGGAAAAACAGAAGGGGGCGGAAGGCTGAAGCAGCTTACCCCTAGGTGGCTCCCATGACGGGGCCGGTACAAAACAAATAACAGTAAGACATTAAACAGTTGTAAATTAAAACATTTGTACTCAGTAAACAGTACAGTATTACATCAAAATATACAGATATAAACACAGGCAGTAAAACCTGTCAGATTGAAATTAAAATGGTGGTACTTAGCTGAGGAAGCCGCAAAGAAAGAGGAAGAGATGGGGGTCACATTGGGACTATATGATATGTGGACTATTCCCATTGGCTAGGAGATAGTGATGTAATGGTTAATCCTGTGAGGGTATTTGTTCATTTTTTTTATATATTACGAATACCTTCTTAGCTTTCTTTGCTGCTGAGGAATAAAAGAAAGAGATAAGCCTAATACTCGCCTCCGTGTCTTTAATAAAATCCTGACTTTACGTCATGTTAATAGTAAAATCTAGGCATTCTGGTTTAATATCATTCAATTGTGTTTTCGATGATCTCAGCCAATCCAATAATGGAGGTTTAGTGCGCATGCTCGATAAAACGCTGTGCTGCGCCATTTTGATGGAAGCCCCTCTAGTGGTTGTCAGAGTAGTATACACAACAGGCAGTAAACCAATAGTATTGTTGTTCTGCAGAAATTGAATTGACCACGGACGTACCTGGTACGTCTGATTGCAAAGAGGCACTTACCTGATCGCTGGCGATCCCTCACCGGCGATCGCGATGTGGGGACTTGCCTGGCATCTCAATTTTTAAAATAGATATTTTGAAACAGCAATGTCCTAGTTGTACTTATAGCCCTATCACTTGCAAAAAAGCTAAGAAAATTTTGACATTTGGTATTTCTAACCTCAGGACAAAATTTAGAAACTATTTAGCACGGGTGGTTTTTGGAGGTTGTAGATGTGCAACAGATTCAAGGTTAGAAAGAGTCAAAGTTAGAAAGAGTGTTTTTTACATTTTTTTTACATTTTCCATCATATTTGATAAATTTTTTTATAGTAAATTATATGATGAGATGAAAATAATGGTATCTTTAAAAAGACCATTTAATGGCGAGAAAAACAGTATATTATATGTGGGTACAGTAAATGAGTAAGAGGAAAATTACAGATAAACACACACACAGCAGAATGTAATAACAGCCCTAGTCCTTAACGGTAAGAAAATTGTAAAACGAGGTGGTTACTAAGGGGTTAAAGGAGAACTGTAACTTCTCTGGAATTTGCTCTATTGAATAAAACACTGAAAATCACCTATAACTCATATTTAATCCTTTTTTTCATGAGATGCTCCATTTTGTTTTAAATTTATATTAAGATTTAGGGAATTACAGCATGGCCCAGTTTAGACAAGGCTCAGCCAGGGCACATATTGCTAATGAATATGAGATGTAGAAAAAATGGGGGAGATTTATCCCATTTTGACTCTATTAAATCTGTTGCTTTTTTTTGCCGATGCAAAGGATTTCCAAATCTTACACCACTTTCTCCATTAGAAAATTGGCGGAATTTTTCTGCCAGTATAAATTTGGCATCTTCCGAAAAAGAACTTTTTAGATCACTTTGATAAATATCTCCCATTGTTTCATGTCTCCTTTTCTCTGTCTGCTCTCTTTATAATGCTGTAACTTTTTTTTCATTTACTTACCTACCCAGGTGATCTGCTTCGGGGAGACTACCTGAGAACCCAAACATTCCCCCTCTGGCAAATCCGGCCCTTCCGGGTGATCTTACATCATGATCACATGGCCGCAATATCTGGCTGCTGAACTGCCTGTAGGGGGACATCCTGGATTGTCGGGCAGTCCTCCAAACTGTAAAAAAGTTACAAAATTAAATTAATTATTATTAAATTATTAATGCCCCTCAATGATTTTCAACCCTAATAATGATGAAATTATATATATATACTTTTGCAAATGATATGCCAGGTAATTCTCATTCCTGGGCTGCCATACGGTCTCAAAGGCAACATAACCAATCTGGCGAATTTCAATGTGCAAAAACTAAAATGGGTGAGCCTTATATTTGACCCCGTAACTTTCCAAAGCACCATAAAACCTGTACATGGGGGGTATTGTTGCACCTTTGAGACATTGCTGAACACAAACACAGTGTTTAAGAGCAGTAAAACATATAATGCTGATGATGCCATTGGGGAAAAGGCAGCTTTTTTGTGAAAAATGCAAAAAAACAAATATGAACGCTAAGTTTGGCCAAGGTTTGTGACAAAAAAGAAAATGGACATCTGCAATACCTTGGGTTGTCTACTATTGCAAATGATATGCCATCATGGGGGTAATTCTCATTCCTGGGCTACCATACGCTCTCAAAGGCATCATAACCAATGAATTTCAATGTGAACAAATGGAGCGTGTTATATTTGACCCTGTAACTTCCCAAAACACCATAAACTGTACATGTTGTACTAGTGAGACATCGCTGAATACAAATATGTGTGGTTTATTGCAGTATCATAATCATGGTTAAATTGACACACAGCTAAGAAAATAAAACAAAATCTTAATTTTTCACAATATTTTTTCTTTGTTCATATTAAATAAATTTTGGATATCTAAATATTTGATATGAAATGAAAGCCCTGTTTCTCCTGAATAAAATGATTTTTAATAAATGTGGGTGCACGTAATATGAAAGAGGTAACCTACGGTTGAACAGACATATAGCGCAAATTCCAGATTTTCTTTTGATTTTGTTTTGATCATAACTTGTGAAATTAGCTCCGTCCTTAAGGAGTTAAAAATCCTGGAAAACTACCTATTGGGGAGATTGTGCATTACCCGCTCCTTCCATATTCTTCTTCTTCTACCTTACAGACTACTAGGTCCTGCGTGACCGATTAACATGGAAACATAGAATGTGACGGCAGATAAGAACCATTCAGCCCATCTAGTCTGCCCAATTTTCTAAATACTTTCATTAGTCCCTAGTCTTATCTTATAGTTAGGATAGCCTTATGGCTATCGCACGCATGCTTAAACTCCTTTACTGTGTTAACCTCTACCACTTCAGCTGGAAGGCTATTCCATGCATCCACTACCCTCTCAGTAAAGTAATACTTCCTGATATTATTTTTAAACCTTTGACCCTCTAATTTAAGACTATGTCCTCTTGTTGTGGTAGTTTTTCCTCTTTTAAATATAGTCTCCTCCTTTACTGTGTTGCTTCCTTTTATATATTTAAATGTTTCTATCATATCCCCCCTGTCTTGTCTTTCCTCCAAGCTATACATGTTAAGATCCTTTAACCTTACTACTGTATTACAATGCTATATATGTTTTTTGTTGAAAAACATTAAAAAAAAATGTATTCACAAAAAAACAATATCCTGGATAACAAAATTTTCACTTTAAGATTGACAAATCTTATGCCATAATTCCTGTCCAGCAAAAAAATTGACCAAAATCATGCAAATACCTCAATTTCTCACTCAAAACACCAATTAAAATCTGAACCATGACTTCTCCCAATATTGTTATATAAATAAACCATCTTAATCTACATCCTTCATCGTTGGCGTAAATTACATCATAACGCCAGTAATATTCAATATTTGCCTCCTTGAACAATTAATAGTTTCTACAGCTACAAGGAATAGTTTTTATTTTTTGAGATAAAACAAAGAACAATCAGTAGCATGGAATGGACACAATAAATAATGAGAGCTACCCTGAAAATAGGCCAGATGGCACATTAAAACGTAAAAACAACACAAAGGCCTATGTAGGACCATTGTATTTCCATGATAAGTCTCTTTAGAGATTAGTCAAAGTGCTCTGATTGGTTAGATTACAAGCTAGCCAATCAGAGCACTGTGCTGAGATTTTGAAGCGTGGGTAGGTCTCTTTAGAGATGAGTCAAAGTGATATGATTGGTTGGATTACAAGCTAGCCAATCAGAGCACTGTACTGAGATTTCATAGTGTGGGTAGGTCTCTTTAGAGATGAGGCAGAGTGGTCTGATTGGTTGAATTACAAGATAGCCAATCACAGTGATGTACTGAGATTTCATAGTGTGGGTAGGTCTCTTTAGAGGTGAGGCAGAGTGGCCTGATTGGTTGGATTACAAGATAGCCAATCAGAGCACTGTACTGAGATTTTGAAGCATGGGTAGGTCTCTTTAGAGATGAGTCAAAGTGATATGATTGGTTGGATTACAAGCTAGCCAATCACAGCAATGTACTGAGATTTCATAGTGTGGGTAGGTCTCTTTAGAGATGAGGCAGAGTGGTCTGATTGGTTGGATTACAAGATAGCCAATCACAGCGATGTACTGAGATTTCATAGCGTGGGTAGGTCTCTTTAGAGATGAGGCAGAGTGGTCTGATTGGTTGGATTACAAGATAGCCAATCACAGCGATGTACTGAGATTTCATAGTGTGGGTAGGTCTCTTTAGAGATGAGGCAGAGTGGTCTGATTGGTTGGATTACAAGATAGCCAATCACAGCGATGTACTGAGATTTCATAGCGTGGGTAGGTCTCTTTAGAGATGAGGCAGAGTGGTCTGATTGGTTGGATTACAAGATAGCCAATCACAGCGATGTACTGAGATTTCATAGTGTGGGTAGGTCTCTTTAGAGATGAGGCAGAGTGGTCTGATTGGTTGGATTACAAGATAGCCAATCAGAGCACACTGCACAGTACTGAGATTTCATAGCGTGGGAAAACGTTTATAAAAGCTTTTCTCGCCTTGAAAGGTTAGTGTGTGCGTAGCCCTCACAGAGCTCACATGGATGTTTTTTTCCTATGTAGTAGTATTGCTGTAATGTAATTGATTTTTATTCAGCCTTTTTTGGGGGCTGAAGCAAAGAAGACTTTAGAAGAAAGAAAACTTCTGAATGTTAGTATGAATTTTTTTTTCTTGCACGTATTAGAGATATTGTCCCCGCTCACTATTATTAGTGTAAGGGCAATCGGTAGGCAGGTTTTTGTTGCATGGGTGGCAACTCTAGTCACCGGGTTGGAGGTATTGGTGGGGAGATTGGCACAAACTATGGGCATGTACACACATTATCACATCTAATACCCCAACACCTGAACCCCATGAATGGGATGGACAATAGCATTGCCCTTGTTGATTGTTAAATAGCTCCCAGTCACTGCCCAGGGGTGGAGACTGGGGGAACAATTAGATGCCTCCCCCTTATTGTTTTATTAGCCTCACCCACCACCCATGGATGAACATTTTACACAGAACTGATGTACCAGGCTAGGTAATATCAATTCTGTGCTAAATTTAATTGACAACTCTATTATGCAGCCAGAGGTAATGTTATTCCTCCATCAGCAGAGGGATCAATCTCTGAATGTGCATCATTCCATAGTGAAACCCTGCACTTACAGACTCCAGGCACCATCACCACTTCAAATCACTGACATTGTCATGGTGCTTGGAATAATCCCTTAAAGTTCCACAGAATAATAAAACCATGATTGTAGTGTCCTAAATATTAAAGTTGTTTTTTTCTAAATCTTCTGCACATTTTTCTTGGCATTTCTTTCAAAAAGCTGTTCTAAGCTTGAAAGATGACAAACCTGAAGTATCTTCTATAGTCAAAGTCTAAATTTCTCGGGGAGCGCCCGTCTGCAGAATCGTCGCTCGGACTACATGCGTCTCTGCATTCATTAATTCTGAATTAAACAGTGTGAATACATTAAACAAAGGGCAACTTTTCTAAATTTGAAATACTAAGAAAAACTCCTGCTGGGGTCTACGTTCTTCCGTAATGGAGATAAAAACCAATTATATGGTTCTTTTCTGATACCTTTTATTCAATCTTTTATATAAACAACAGTAAAGATTAATCAGAGCGCACATTTCATTGACAGCAAAGAAAGGTGTTCAGAGAATGCCACAAAAATACAGCTGATCACATTGCTACAATTTATTAGTAACGTACCACGTATGCATCTACATGACACCATACCCACTTCAAGAAGGAACATAACACTATCTCCCAGGTTTATTCGCTGAATGGATAAAGTCATACAACCAATCCACCATTTTGAGTTCAGCCTCCATTTTTATATTTACTGCTGAAAACTGAAAATATTATCCATATTAAAGTAATATATATTAAAGTAATATATACTGTGTAACCCTTTGCCTAAATCTGATCCTAACATATGTGTCCTTTAGAATATTGATACTTCACCAAACCACAACTCCCTTAACACTTTATAACTCCTTTTGTCTTTTATTAATACCAAGTTTACATATAATATCTTGTGAGTAATGAGTAATCTTTGACCATTATTTCAATGTGATGTAATGTGATATATCTACATAATCTAATGAGTTATCCCAATAAATTTAGAATTGAATTGGACCTCACAGTGGTGTGTTATGTTTGAGCTAATTCTCCAGGCCTGTAGGCGTGACGTGCTGATTGGACGCACAGATTGCGTTAGGATCACTGGGGAAAGAAAAATAACATTTGCTATTTCCCAAATTGTAGCAATCTGAAATTCAAATTGCAAAATGTAGAAAAATGTAGCTGAACTGGCCAAATTCTGTAACTCTGCTACAGCTCAGGTATTTTACCCTTAATTTTACAATTTAGATTTCATGTTCACTAAAAATAGGGGATTTGTAAATAAACCCATCTGGGGTAGTTGGAGTAGGATTTTTATTGGGGTTTGGCTTTCAATAGGATGAATCATTATTAATTACAAAATTTCATGCATTAGAATTTAAAGTGCCATGCTTATATATAAAATCTTATAGAAAATATTACATAGAGGCAAGATATGTCTGAGGGCATGTCCAATAGGTGTAACGGATCACCTGGCACCCCGACTATCAACACATTACAACACAGCCAACACTCCCATTCATTACATCAGAAATCCTCCCCTCTGCCTGTGATACAATTATCTCAACACAATAGACTAACTTAATTATCACAGGCAGGAAAATACAGTATTATAAAACATATCACAGGGACCCCAAAACATGCAATAACCCCATAAAAAATCCACCCAGATCCGTTCAGTAGTTTGGAAGATACGGTTTAATGCAGATTCTGCAGAACATATACAGGATATATGAAAAATAATTACTGTATAACGTGTCCCCTGTTGTATAGTTTAAAACTACTGCACGATGTCTTTGTGCACCAAATACCGGCAGGATGGCACCGTGTAGAAAAGTCAAAACAGTGTCTGTGAGTTAAAATGGCGGCCATCCTTTGTTTTCCCCATGTGCTTCATCCATTGTTCTCACCATGTGCCTCTGATACATGAAATGGTGGCCACCCAGTAACTCCACAGTATGTCCCCAGATGGTTCTTAAAGGGCCAGCAGCAGCATTGTGGTGGAACCAGCCTCGCCACTAGGCTTTGGAGAAGACTGATTGCCAGCCTCCTGCCATGTGACTATGGCCCCTGGGATGTATTGCCTGCTCTCCTGTACTGGTGAGGATTGCTACCAACTAGGTGGATTTGGCTATGGAGCTTGTGTAGTGCCCTCTGTTGGTAGCAACAGTAATATGCACTACCTGAAAAGCAAGACTGGTAATTTGCATATTCGGGTAGATTTGCATATCGCTAATTCTGCATGCAGGAGAGACATTTTGTGTTAATTATGGTCTTCCTCACCCATTTATAAATATGTAATTATGATATAATAAGTCACTGTATGTTTCCTGCTATGATTTGACTGTTTGTAATTTTATTGAGTTTTCACAGCAATGTTAATGTAATGACCATATGTGCTAGTCCGAAGTAAAATAAAGTTTTAGTTAGCTCTACTTCATTCTCAATCTGAGTTCTGACTCTTATTGCGGGAATCTGCTACAAGGGATTGCTATGCTTGTCATACTCCCTTGCTAAATCACTGCTAAGCTCTTGTAAGAGCTTGTTCCTGCCTTGCTGTTTGAAGGAGTTTATGGTGGTTATGGTGTCTGCTGCAGTGATTGGAGTCATCAGGAAGCACTAGTAGCATCCTTCAACGGAGGTACCCAGTCGGGGTGCCAGGTGATCTGTTACAAGCATAATAAAATACAGTATGCCCAAATCATTTCCAATACATCCCAGGGCCATAGTCACAGGGCAGGATGCTGGCAAATAGGCCCCTCCAAAGACCAGTGGCAAGATCACTTTCGCCACAATAGGAACTACTGCTAACTCATGGTTTATTGAGGCATCAGATTGAGCCACTACTCCCATTATTATATTCTAGCCTATTGCTACCAGACAATGATTCCTATATTAAACCGATCTCTACAGGTAACTGATCCCTACATGAAACCGATCTCTATGGGTAACTGATCCCTACATGATAGTGATATCTACAGGTAACTGATCCCTACATGAAACCGATCTCTACAGGTAACTGATCCCTACATGAAACCGATCTCTACGGGTAACCGATCCCTACATGAAACCAATCTCTACAGGTAACTGATCCCTACATTGATAGTGATATTTACAGGTAAGTGATCCCTACATGAAACCAATCTCTACAGGTAACTGATGCCTACATGAAACCGATCTCTACAGGTAACTGATCCCTACATGATAGTGATATCTACAGGTAAGTGATCCCTACATGAAACCGATCTCTACAGGTAACTGATCCCTACATGAAACCGATCTCTACAGGTAGCTGATCCCTACATGAAACCGATCTCTACAGGTAACTGATCCCTACATGATAGTGATATCTACAGGTAACTGATCCCTACATGAAACCGATCTCTACAGGTAACTGATCCCTACATGATAGTGATATCTACAGGTAACTGATCCCTACATGATAGTGATCTCTACAGGTAAGTGATCCCTACATGATAGTGATATCTACAGGTAAGTGATCCCTACATGAAACCGATCTCTACAGGTAAGTGATCCCTACATGAAACCGATCTCTACAGGTAACTGATCCCTACATGAAACCAATCTCTACAGGTAACTGATCCCTACATGAAACCGATCTCTACAGGTAACTGATCCCTACATGAAACCAATCTCTACAGGTAACCGATCCCTACAGGTAACTGATCCCTACATGAAACCAATCTCTACAGGTTACTATCTTTACTGATAACAGCTGTCTACAGGTAATTGATCTTAACAGGTAAGTAGGTAACTGCTCTGGTAAGTGCTCCCTATGGAAAGCCAACCTCTACAGATAAATGATCATTACATGAATTTGATCTCTTCAGATAACTGAATCACTATGTGACGCTGATCTCTACAGCAATCTACAGGTAATCAATCTCTATGTGCAACTAGTCCTTACAGGTAACTGATCTAGACTATTTTATTATTTATTACTGGTATTTATAAAGCGCAAACAGATTCCGCAGCGCTGTACAATTAGTGGAGAACGTACAATATACACAGACAAATACAAGAGGTAGAGAGAGCCCTGCCCGTAAGCTGATAACTAGCCATTGGAGCTCTTTTATACAAAGTGCTTAGCTAGATGGCCCATGAGCTTACAATCTAAAGATAATCAATCTCTATGTGTAACCAAACCCTACAGGTAACGGATCTCTACTAGCAACCAATCTGTAGATGTAACCAATCTCTGTCAGTAACTGATCCATACAAGTAGAGGTCCACGTACCCACAGAGAGTGGTCTAGGCGTCCACACACTGCCATGGACAATCTCAATATTGCAGAATCACATGGATAGAATATTGTCACGTAATCTGAGGACAATGCTAGTTTAACCCCTTAAGGACCAAACTTCTGTAATAAAAGGGAAACATGACATGTCACACATGTCATGTGTCCTTAAGGGGTTAAAGGCTCTCTGCATATCCTGGGAAGAGGTATGCTTTGTAGCTAAAAATGATAGAATTAGGAGAATAAACCAGGGTAGGAGAATGTGGATACAGTCCATATAATATTTAGAAGAGAAGTCATATGGGTGAGGGGGTGTTCTAATTTTTAAAGGCTTTGGGTTCAATGGAATATCTGTGATATCCATCCTGCTTGGTAGTCTACTGGTCTAATCTAGGGAGGTTACTTGATTGGATTGGGGTAGAGCAGGTGTGTGATTTACTCTCCTCCCTGTATTTATAGCCAATGTAAGGAGCACATACCTTTCGTTAGCTGTAACGGTGTACAAAGTCCAGCTTTCGCCAACAAACAAACCAAAAATAAAGAAATAAACAGTAGTACTCTAGTATGTCCTTCTGGTATCTGTGTCCCTTTATTTAAGTGATCGAAGTGAACAGTAATGTATCCCCAGTCATAGTCAGCACATTTTGGGGATTTCTGCATCCGGAGGGTATTTCATTCCTTTTTTATCCTTTTCTATGTATAACCACAAGACAGAAACCACCTGCTGGTGATCAAAAAACTTGTAAATTTCAGTCTAATATTAGTGTATGATTGCAGAATGGTCACAGAGCGCTCTTAGTGTGCCGCCATATTGAGGCAAGCCGAGCCGTGCCCCTGTCTGGACAGCACCCTGTGGGTTTGGAAAATTCTGCACATAAAGAAGTATTTAATGTTATAAGTTCCACCACAGCAAACATACACAGGAAAACCATGAAAAAAGTCGGTTAAACATGGGCTGAACAGCAGTAACGCGACATTAAGAATTTTAAAATGGGTGTAGTGGTTATGGTGCCTAGACTGCTGGCACAGGGTGATCGGAGAGTCTGTGTGGGTCCTTAGGAGAAAGTATGTCTGTGACAAGGATTTTTTTTCCTCTGTTTTTTTCCTCCTTTTCTTCAAAAAATGTGGAATCACAAGCGGGATTACTCACTAAACCGAGAATCGTCGAGAATTCGAAGGGAATTTCAAGTTTAAGACCAAACTAGCCAAACTGGAATGATTTTTTACATTTCGGCTATTTTGGAGCCGCGATTCTGCAGAATACGTCCTTTTCATTACCTGTCATTTTCTGCGTGATGGTTTTGATCGTGGAAGCACAGAACACATTGTAACAGCCAGCAGCACCTGCGAGATTCACAAGGCTCATTATCTTTTCATGTTTCACATTAGCAGATTATTTATCTTGATTACATAACAGCATTAAAGTCATTTCACAACACACAGCTTGCTCCGTCCCCAATGGAACGACAATAAACAGGTTAACCCTTTGTGTAGCTGACCTCTTTTACAAATAAACACATTCCGTGGGAAACAATCTGGAGAACAGGTCATTGGTCTATTCGCTAAACAAAATTTGGTTATTGAGAATTAGCTGAGGAATGTTAAATTGTAGCACAAAAAAATATTTTAATTGGGCAATTCTTTTTTTTGAACTAAATACCTTTCTCCACAATCTCAGTTTAGTGAATAAATCCTGCTGTACTGATCTTTATGTGAGATAGTTATCCATGTTGGGTGATTGGGAACGAGGTTTGTCAAGGTAAAATGCATGCTACATATCACCACACAGAGCTTGAACCTCGCTTATCCTAATAAAGTAAAAAAGGATAGCGGCGTATTACCGGTCCTTACAGTGGTGCAGTGCCTATAGTAGGCAACAATAGCAGAGCCAAGAACACGTTGACGTCATGAGATCCAGAAATACACAAGAACGTAATGCCCAGCCGGGTCTAAGAGTATACAGATAGGTGGTATTCAGGACCGGTGCAAGGATTTTTGCCGCCCTAGGCAAAAGTAAAGTTTGCCGCCCCCCTCCCCCCCCCGTGACATCACAATGCCCCACCCATATGACCTGCCATGTTAACTAACGCCAATGCTGCAGTGCCGCTGTGTTTACATTAAAAGGCCTGCAGGGACAGGCTATAGACACCAGAACCACTACATTAAGCTGCAGTGGTTCTGGGGACTATAGTGTTTCTTTAATGTGAGGTAAATTAGAGATTAGTGCCACGAATAATATACTAGATTGCCTACTTACAACCAGATGAGGATGATGATGGGCTCTAGCTGCAGTCTGGCTCCACTGGTCTGGTGTATAACAGGCTCTCTGGAGGCTGTTTGTAACTGTGGTCACAAAAATCAATGTTCTGGGAGAACGAGGAAGCAGCTCCATTTTTTGGGGGCCCTTTACACAGCTCAAGGTCTGGGTCCCAGGGTCCACCTTCATGTTCCACCAATTGTTCACAGGGGGTGGAGTGTGTAGGGGATGTCCTGATTTGTGTGTAAGGAATGCATTTTGTGAATCTGTGTTTGTATGTGTAAGGGCTGCAAGGTGTGTTTCTGTGTATGTAGGGGATGAAGTGTGTGAGTCTGTAAGG